GAGAACAATGAAAAGTGTTTACAATATCCTACTAAAAAATATCACATAAATAAAAATATCCTTTGATCAAATAACGCTCTTAGATGCTATGTTATTCAGCAGCTTTAACAGATATTGAAATTAAAAAAAAATCCTTTGATGAGATTTGGATAATAAAAATGTAAGAAAATAAAAAAATCTGAAGCATTTTTGCAACAACAAAAACAAAATTTATACACACAAAATTGTAAATAATATTGTGTCTAAACAACAAAATAATGCATGCAACAACTGATATTTTAAATTAATGATTGCGATGCAAATGTGTTGTAAGATTATGTTTGATTATCAAGAACACGCAACCTGGAATTAAAGCATGTAATGAAAGTAAAGATATCATAAACAAACAACTAAAAGTTCCTTACCTGCGGCATTCTATTGAGTCAATATTGGTATTACTTCATCGAAACCAAATTACCAACGAGTCGGTTTTGCTTTCAGGAAGAAAGCACATATTGAGATTTTAAAGAAAGTTTGAATTGTTTTCACTTTTCAAAACACTTAACTCGCGAACTTTTCAAGAGCATAAAAAAATGTAAGCACTCCCGCCGAGCATAACAGATAACTTTCATATAATAGTAATGAAAACTTTATAAACAAACTTATAAATCTTATAAACACAAACTTAACACAATAATAAATTAATAGTACAAAATAAAATCAACTAACTTATTCTTTAGAATAAGGTGTAGTGACGTAATATTTTTTAAAATTATTTTTTAGTAATTTTTACTACTTTTATATACATTATTTAATTTATTTATATAAAAAATACAGGAGCTATTAACACACAGCCGTCAGGACGCGGCCATATGCACTTTTGACTGTCACGTGACAACTGAGTGTCAAGTGAAGTCGTTTTGAATGCTTTGTAGATAGCGCCACAAGCGGAAAAAGCTGCAACTATGAAATATATACATATGAAAAAATAAATTCATATATATGTATATGATTTTCAAAAATATTAAGTGAAAAACATATTGCAATATATCAATATTTCATTTATATTTATATTTTTTTAATAACGACTGAACCGTTATTATCAGTATAACGGCGTTAGTGTTTAATAAAGAAGGAAGTAATTAACTGATCGGCGTGAAGTTGTACATTTATAACCAAGGTAATCTAATTATTTATATATTTTATTGCTGAATAAACTGTCGGCATAATTTGATTTATAGTACTACAAATAAAAGTATATAACTCTAATAACATTGCTAAACCGTAGAGCCACCTATTATAATATTGTAGATTCCATTACTCCATTACTCCCATGATAGTCCAGTCATTTGGTCATTTTGCCGGTACAGTACTCCGGGAATTCTGAAAATTGGTAATCTCATAGATTTCGAGGTGCTCTTTACAAAAATCAACTTTGCCACCTCAAATTTGAACGGCAAGTTGCCGCCATATTGAAAAAATGGCGTCAAAAAACTGCTTTTTTTAAAATATCTCCTTTCTGGCTCATTCTACAATAAAAGTATCTATGTACGAATTAAACTAGACAAAAATTCCTACAATTATTTGAAAAACCGTTTTTTTGTAAAATTGATAGTTTGAGAGTACGGCCGCCTCAAAGTCTTTGCTGCTCTCGCCGTAGTATCAAATCTGTCCGTACATGACAGCACTTTGAACTTGACCACATTCCCTTCTAATAAATAAATATTTTCAATGTTAAATTAAGCGAATAAGATCTAGAAATAAATTAATTCAAATATTTTTCTGTTTTTTTGGTGATTTTTTAACGCTAATGAATATGGAAGTAATCAACTGACCGGCGTGAAGTTGTACATTTATAACTAATGCAATCTAATTATTTATATATTTTACTGTTGAATTAATTGGCGGCATAATTTGATTTATAGTACTACAAATAAAAGTATGTAACTCTAATAACATTGCTAAATCGTAGAGCCACCTATTATAATATTGTAGATTCCATTCCTCCATTATATCGACTTCTTCATACCTCTCATTTATTTTAGAAAATTATATTTTTTCAATTCAAAGAATCCATCCTTGTCCATGTGAATTCTTCTTGATAAGTAACGTATATAATCCAATATAATAGATTCAATAATCCAAAACTAGCAGGAAATAAAACTCTTGCCATCCGGTCTATCATGGACACACTATTTACTTGGCGAATGGTTCCGTTAGCTAAAATATAAAATGAGAATGCTGGCTAAAGGTTTGGATATTTAATATGACATATGATTAGGTAAATTATTTATTTACAAATTTGATGTAAAGTATATATTATGATAAAAAATGCTGTGTCATTTTTAGATTATAGTTAATTCATATACTTAGTTTTTGTGTTTCTCTTCATTATATTTTTGTACTTGCAATAGTGATAATTCAAGTAAAACAAAGGGATTTTACTGTAGTTTTTATAGTTAGTATACTTATATTAATAGTACTATAAAAACCATTGCTTCTCATAACCAATTGGCACTAACACACTGTATGTTTCAAAACAGCTTAGGTAAAATATTATTTATCGTGTAAAATGCAAAATTTTGCTTGCATTATTAAAATTTTGCTTGGTTCACAGGAATTATGGTATATGTGTATATGAATTATAGTATTATATTCAATCTTAATATATAGAATATCAAGCCAACCAGCTGAGGTAAAAATTTTCATTTCATTAAAAGTTTAGTAGTTAGTTTGTTCATTATATCAATAATTTACCTCCTCTTTCCTTCTTGCAACTCGAAGCCTCTCTCTGTCTCTGTCGCCTGAACTCATCATTTCCAAGAAGGCAATATATTAATTGCTTCCAGCGAGGAATTGCTTTCTCAGTTTGAGTCGTTCGCTCTACTGTAATTTGTGTACTTGTAGCACTTATCGAGAGAGGACTGCAACTTCTTTTATGTCTGCACGATGGAGGTGTTTTTCTGTGAATTGTTCCATAAGTGATTGCAGGATCCTGCAGGAAATTTAATTTTAATATACAGAAACATTAATAATAATTCATGTATATCTTTATATCTATTTCAGATGTTTTACATATTTAGATATGGCAATTGAAATGTAATAATTTAACAGCGTAAGATTATGCTACATTGTAGAAAATTAATTCAGCACACTAATTGCAAGACTACATTTGAAATCATATAGTGATGAAAATATTGTTTGGTTACAAGAAACTGTTAGGAAACAATTTTCAACTATCTAATCTTGTTAGTAATGTATTAGCTAAATAATAGATTCTTCAAGAACTCTATCACAATTCTGTCTACTAAAATAAATTTGTAAATTTACTTACATTATAAATTGGACAAATAATTGAGCATTTGCGTCTAACTGATATTTGCTTTTCTTCGGGAACTCCAAGTGCACTAACATCCTTCGAAGAAGTCACAGTTTCCCATTCATCATCTTCGCTTTGCATGATTTCACCACTACCGACCTTTGAGAAGTATTTTTAATTATTAATACATACAAACTAAATCATAAAAATATAATTACGAATAAGTGTAAATAAATAAATAAGAATGTTTATCATCCACCATAAATATCATATTTTTGTAGAGTACCAGAAATATTTATAATATTTTGGAAAGATTGATTTAAATTGCCTAAAGTTAAATATATATATATATATATATATATATATATATATATATTTATATATATATTTATTTTAAAAAATTCTATTTTACATATAACTTATAAAAAGAGTATTTGCCGTTTAAATTCCTTTTAAGAACAGAATAAAGAGAAATAGATAATGTAGATAATATTACAAAAAATTATACTTTGCAAAGACAATGTTGTCTAAAAATGGACTTCATATTTTATATATGGAATTTAAAATTCATACATTTCGGCCATAATTATAGACTTGAAAAATTAGCTTATCCTAATATTAAAAAATAGAAATATTAATAATCTATGGCGATATTAAACAAATTTAATGTTATATAGAGTAGTATTATTTATATCATATCCTCTTATACCAAGGATTATCCTTATTTTTATTTTTAATAATAGACCAAATATATGAGTTTTAAATAAAAATTTAAATGACTCTACTTCAAAATATAGGGTCCGCCAACTAGCTTTTTTTGGAAAATTCTTTAAAAAATCTACTGAATATTTTGCCAATTTTCTCTTTGTTTGAAAATTCTATTAAAAAATCACCAAATATTTTCACTTTTTTTATTTGAAAGTGAAATGTAAAGAGAGCAGAGTTCACAGTAGGGTTGCTTAAGTCGTACCCCCTAAAAAAAAAAGTTATTTGGCGGACCCTATATCTTATGCTAATATCAAATACAAAATTATAATTAATTTGTATTTATTTGTATATATACAATAAATAACGTATTAACCATTTAAGGCCCTCTCCATAAATTCGTATCGTATTTATATCGTATTTACCAAATATTATATATACATTGTAGGACTTATCAGTACAACAAGTAAATTTGTTGAAGACAGTGCGGCTATTATATCTTTGTGAGTATCGGCTATCCAATACGAATTGTTGTTTTATGATGATAACACACTACTTGGAGACAGATAATATTTCTACGCCACAACTTGAAATTACAGGTGTTATAGTTTTACTTGAAATGCCGTGATTAGTTTTGAAAATCGTGATTAAACTTGTATTTATTTCATGTTTAGTTACGGCAAGTGGGCGACACTTATGATGGCTGAAAACGATCCTCTTTTAAATGCAATTCTGGTGACCCTTATAGGACTATTGAAAGAAATGGAAATAATGTGAGTTAATGATATATTTATTATTTTATTTCGATTTACTTTTTGTTTTCATGTTATTTCCGGGTTTGATGAGAAATCTAGATTGACTAGTGATAAGGTGAATATCCAACATAATTCCAATTTGCATATTTTACTTTGAAACTACAATGAAACATAAAATGAATTTAATTTAAATCACGCTGAGACCAAATAACAATTTAAAAAATAAATAATTTCTAATTTAAAATAAGTATCTAATGAAATATTGCATTTGTTCTTATTACAGGCGGAAGGCGAAACGGAAACTTATATAAGCTACGTTGGAAAACTATCACTAAATATAATATTACACACGTTAATATTAGGTTTCACAGTTTTTATTATAAGTTTAGGATTTGCCGATCCACTCAGATTATTTACGTTTCATCCCATTTGTATGACGACAGGGGTATGTTTCTGGTTAAATAATTGAATACACCCGTATATGATATAATGATGATTTTTGTTTTTAGTTTTTCTTCTTCACAACGAATGCAATTTTCACGCAGTCCAAGTATAATATAGTTAGTTTCCGATTTCATCATCAAAATCGTATAACTCTACATTGGGTGCTTCAAGGAGCTTCTGTAATACTGATGACTATAGGATTTATTCTTGTAATACTGACTGTTAATCAGCAAGGAGCGCCGCATTTTTTTACGAATCACAGTAAGAAAATAACTAAAAAAAAAATTAAATATATACTGGTCAAATATTTTTGCCCAGTTTTATAATAGTTATATTTTAAAATAATATGTTTTTTATTCTAGGTATAGTTGGCCTAACTGCCTACATTTTAATGTGCGTTTCTTCCCTCGGCGGGATAGCAACTTTGTACAAACACCGATTTCGAGAATGGTTTACAGCCCGTGCTTTTAAAATTGCCCATTCTTCATTTGGAATAATTACATACACTATGGGAACAGCAGCTTTATGTTTAGCTCTATTTACACATTATTTTGAAAAGTACAACGGATCAGGAAGTGTAGGAACTTGCCTTATTGTGATATTATCGGTCTGGGCTTACGCGATGTTTAGACCGCTAAGTAACCTCAAATCCAGATTAGGATTTTAGAAATATGAAAGCTTTATGAATAAATAATTTATTGTAGAGATTATTGGATAAATAAATTTATAATATTAAAGTTGTATGTTTTTTTAACTTTCCGTAGGGTAAGTTATTATTGTAATGAGCCAAAAATCAAAATTGAAATTTTTACATTTTTCGACGTTTTGAAGGTTTCTGAACATTTTGGCATACCTCAGAAAAAATGGATGTGTGTGTTTGTATGTATGGATACAAATTTCCAGTCACGTTTTCGGACGCACGGATCAACCGATTTAAATGGTTGAAAAAACATTCGATTCCTATTGATAGGAAATGTGCTAATTAGTTTTTGGCAAAGACAGGTTCAGCAATTACAGAGATAAAGAGCAAAGAGTGCAGAAAATAGAAATCGAAGTTTTGAGAGAATGGAGCATCCGATTTGAATGTTCTAAAAAACATTCAATTAGTAATGATTGGGAGAAGTGTTTATCAGATCTTGGCAAAGGCAGGCCCAGCCATTTCGAAGATACGGAGATAATGTGCAAAAATGGCAGTTTTGAGAAAACTAAGCGTCCGATTTAAATGATTCAAAGAACTTTTGCTTGTCCTTAAACAAATAATCGATTTGGAAAAAAAAAATTTTGTTACAACTTTTTTTTTCAAAAAAATATTTTTTTGTATATCGTAAATAATTTAGATATTATTTTTAATTCTGACTAAAGTTCTAATATACTTTGAACAAATAATTTCAACTTTGCAATTCAGTTTATATAATTCTTATAGATATTAGACAATGTTACAATATTAATAATAATCTATTTCAAAACATTCAGTATTCCTCGAACATTTCGTTACGGTACGGGAAGTTCCAGCAATTTGTCTTAAGGCACAATGCCATACACCCAACTAGTTAGATTTACATTGATTAATAAATGATAATCTCCGAATTTAAATTTGTACGTTTTTATATAATTGGAGCCATGCAGTGCGCAAAGTTAAGTACTCAGTTGGCTTTGCTTTATAAATAAAATCGTTTTTCTCATTAGAAATTATTAGCCTGTCATTTCGTGTTTTCAACAAACTTATTTTACTTTTAAATTACACCATACGTACCTATTTATACAGAGTCATAAAATTTTTTAACATCGCCTAAAGAAGAATAAAAAATTGGTTTAAAAGGATTTCGGAAATCGAATGATGTACAAGCTGATGTTCTGTAAACACAATGTGCAATATTCGTCGATACCATTAAGTGACAGTTATTTTCGAACATCAAGTTGCCACAGCATTGACAAACCATCATCGCATACAAATTCAAGAGGCATTCTAAAATAGTTTTAATATTTTAGAAAAAAGTAAACTAAAAATACTTTAGGAAGAATTAAAAAACTGAGACGCGTTTGATTGCATTTGTTTTTGTCAATCAATCAAACTAATTATTAATTTTTCGTGCGTTAATGTTGGAATTTTGGAACTTAGAAAAAGATATTATAAATGATGTCGATCTGCAGCCCGTCGTCGGCCAGCAACAGCACAGAGGCCCAAATGTGCAAAGGCGACCTCACGGTCATGGTAATGTCCGCTGTCAACTATATTCTAATAATATTATTCGCAGCATATATCACATATATCGCATTCGCGTACGAAGAAAACTACGTATTTTCGGCACATCCATTCTGCATGACAGTGGGGGTGAGTTTTTAAATTCTTGTAATAAATGACAAATAAATCTGACATGACTTTTATTATTTTAATTAAGTTAAGAGAATCTTGCTAGTTAGAACCCTAATCCAATCTGATAAAGCAATTCTTAAGATTGTTTGAATTATTTTTTCATACGCTTCTACTTTTGTGTTCCATTTTCTAGTGTTCTAATATAAGTTATAAATTGCAGTTTTTTTGTTTTACGACGAATGCAATATTCTGTGTAAACCAAAATAACATTTTGCTATGGAGGGTATCCTGCACGACGAGGTACCGATTGTATTGGATTATGCAGGCATTGGCGTATGTCCTGATGACGATCGGATTCGCCTTGGCCATCGTCTGCATGAGCTGGGACGAAGAGAGGAGTCATTTCACAACTTTACATGGTAAGATAAAAGATTACTGTCCGAAAATTCCGAAAAATTAAACTACTAGCTTAAGACGTTATTCTAGTCATAAATTGTATGCGATTCTTGAAAGTCCGTAAAAAAGTAAAATATCATCTTTACTATCCAATCTTTTTTAAATTAATTAAAGTTTTAAGAATACAGATAAAATTGAAATATGAAAACAGTTTAAAAGTTTTAATTCTAGTAAGTTTTGAAGTAGGGCTCTCAACAAATTGTCCAAATGACAAAATATTTTATTAATCTAGAAGAATGCCGCATTCATATGAACTACAGAATTAAAAAAAATCACAAAATAACGACTGTCTAAAAAAATCCTTTTTAAATTTTTTTCGATATTGCCGAATTTTTGAATAAGTGTAAAAATCGTAATTTGGGGGTTACACGGATGAGAAGTCTATAAAAGAGCTTGTTAAATTTTCTTTAAAGAAGACTAAAAAATTTCAAGTAAATCGGTCTAGTAAAAATTGTGAAATCGTGGGTATCGAATAGAAAAAAGACAGTTTAGAGAAAACGTGTTTAAAATTTCTCGGATTGTCGTAGTCAAACAGCTGTATCGTCGAAAATAATTTAAATTTTGAAAAATCCTCTCGCACAAACATTCTTGAAAAGTTAAACTTTGAGAATATAAAGAAACTGGGTTTCTTAAGTAACCCCTCAAGAAATGTTTAAAATCTATACGTTTGGCTAAAGTTTTATGCTTTTTTTTATATTTATATTTGTAACTAGTTGGTATTGGTATTTTGTCTTGAGGCAAGTTACATGAACTTACCGTTATGTGTAAATAATTCAATTAATCAATAAAAAATAAATCAATTTATAAGTGATTAAAAGTATTCCGAGTGGATTTATTACACATAATTGAAAGCGAACGAACACGTTAACTCTGGGTATTTTCTAAAAGCAAATTTTCAAAATCAATACTTTTTATAATTGAACCAGTTTCCGTAGGACTGTAATGGTTTAGTATGTTCATTAAGACCAAGTACTCTATCGTTAAACCAAGTAAATCGTTTAATTTTAATTTTAACACACGTCAAAAAAACAACTCATTTTCTCAAACTTTGATGAATTTTTAAAATTAAACTACTTGTCGGAAGGCCGTAATATTACAGTAAGTTGTATAAGACCATGATAAATATAGCAAAAAAAAAACATAAAAATCGGCTTAAATATTTTTTTCAACAGTTAATTACAAGAAAACGGCTCGGTAGATTTTTACCTAAAACTAATCAGTACCATTTCCAACTAATATCTTTCGAAGAGTTTTTGACTTTTTAAAATCGGTTCGGTAGGATGAGCTTAAATGTAGACGAAAAGTTTAACACTTTTTTACAAATTACAAAGAAACGGCTTGGCCGATCGTCGCACAAAAGTGACAAGCGATAATCGTTATCGAAATACATCAAATGGCTTTTAAATTTCTGAAATCGGTTCAGGCGTTTTTGAGAAAACGTCGATTAAAGGTCTAATTTTGACAAATGCCAAAAAAAGCGATACCAATTTTTGCAAACTTTGACGAATTTTCAAAGTTAAATCAATTGTCGTAGAGCCGTAATATTTTAGTATGATCTAGAAGACTATAGTATCTATCGTCAAAAATATAATAATAAACATCGTCGAAAATTTTTTTTAACACTTTATTACAAGAAAACGAACCGGCCGATCTTTACCAGAAACTTCTCCTTCGGGAAATTAAAAATAAAATCGCTAACTATTATAAAAATCATTATATGAATGTATATATCTTAAATTCGAACATATATCGTACAAAATTGTTAAATTAGAGAAAATCAATTTATAATATAACGATAATATTTTTATTATCAGGGGTGGTCGGTCTCCTGCTCTTCGTCCAAATGACGATCCGATGCATCGTCGTGATCATGGGCGGATTCGGCGGCGACAGCACCGCCTGCTGCACCACCGACAACTACCGCACGCTGAACACGGTGCTGGCCATCACCACGTACGCACACGGCATGGTCTGCCTGATGCTGGGAATTCTAACAGTTTGGTTCCGAAGATTAAACAGCGATTACACAGTCGGAGTATGCATAGCCGTACTCGTGCTGCTTTCAATTTGCGCGATCGTAAAACCGATCGCCCGCCTAAGGAATCGAGTTGCACCAGATTGCTTGCCCGGATGCCCGGGCTGATGAATTTCCCAAGAAATAAGCGAAATTATAACAATTTCGTTGTGTAATATATTTGACGCTGACACATTTTTTACCCGTGGCGTACTAGATGTGTCGTTTGTTTATTTTCTACCAAGACGCTTGGCGATATTTTAACATTGTGTATAGACGTGTTATAAAGGTTAAACATTGATGTGTATTATATATTTATGCATTAAGACTTTGATGATTTATATGGGGGTATGTTTGTAACGGGAATTTGTTTATAATATATATGCAATATGGCAAACTAAATTTTAAACTTACTGTTAACGCCTTACTCAACCCTGGTCTAATTATATATTTTATTACCTTCAGGCAGGATAGCAATAATAAACCCTCATCCCTTATTATATAATTTAGAACTATTAAATAATCCCTTTCATTGTGTTGCATCCTGTCCCTAAATCTATCATCATAGCATTAATACTTTTATTCTAAGAATCTTAATCACCTGTCCCCGATTGATTTCCACGTACCAAGGAATTACCGGTTAGTACCTGATTGGTCAAAAATGTAATAGAATGTGCTTGAACCCACAAAAACGAGCCAATCAGAAAAATCATATAGAATTGTAAAATCTTTATAATTTAGTATTAACTCAAATATTATCTAGATAACATCAGTCTTAAATCAATACTCAACTAAGCAACAAGTCTTAAATCAACATTCAAAGCAATAACATCTAACATATCATCTATAAATCTTAATCTTTCATTCAAATATACAATAGTTAAACATTTATTATTATTCTTTTATTCGGTCTGATATAGCCACTATCTAAGTATATCTGGTCCTTCGACAATATAAATAAAGTGCAAGTGTTTTAATAGAGTTCGGCAGCATCTTGGTAGATCACGGACTTCTTATACATTTTTGCAATCTATCATTTAACACTTACTTTCGTAAAATAATGAACCCCTGCAAATTCAAGCAACGTAGCAATGCAGTAGAAAAAGCTCATGAGGAGAAACCAATCTAAAGCTGTTGCGTAGCGCACTTTAGGCAGATCAGTTCGAGAATCTAAGCTATAATACATTTAATCATTAACATCGTATTATTTAATCGCTGATGATTTTAGCAAATTATTATTTTACCTGATAGTAGATAGGGTAAGCACAGTTGTTATTCCCAATCCAACCCTATCCGAAGTCGCTTCTCGGTGTATCCAAAAAGAAACCCAAGACAAAACCACGATGAGTATACATGGTACATAAACCTATAAAATATATTTTTTTATCAAACAAGCAGTTTATTAACTTCCCGTAGGGCAAGTTATAGTAATCGCAAAAAAATCGAAAAGGACAATTTTTATATATCTTTACGTTTCAAAGGTTTCTGAACATTTTGGCATACCCTAGAAAAAATTTATGTGTGTGTGTATGTGCGTGTGTGTATGTATGTTCGGATACAAATTTTCGTCAACGATTTCGGAAACACGGATCAACCGATTTGAATAATTCAAAAAACATTCGATTCGTATTGATAAGGAGACGTGCTGATTAGTTTTTGGCAAAGGCAGGTCTAGCCGTTCCAAAGATGCGGGGCATAAAGTGCCGAAAACGGTAACTCAGTTTTTAAGAGAACGGAGCGTCCGGTTTGAATAATTCAAAAAACATTTTACTTGTATTGACAAGATGAATAATTGATCAAATTTTGATGAGGACAGGTCTAGCGGTTTCGGAGATCTAACAAAAAAAGTAAAAAAAAATGCAATTTAGCGGTCAAAAATGATCATTAGACATATACACATCAAATTGTCAGATATTTTATAGAGATTTTAACACTAAGTAAAAATTTTGTTTACATCCCTATGGGTTCCGTACCAATGTTTATCCGTTAGACAGCAAGGCGGCGGTTACGCGCTTTATATTTTGTCTCTATGCAGTTAAAGCAGTACGATTGCTTTGAAAAAAAGTTCAGATCTTCCAAAATATGTCAAAATAAAGAAAAAAAATTTTTTTTAAAAAAAGTAAATTTTTGTCCAGTTTATAGTTTCTCAAAAATCAATTTTTTTCGAAGTAATTTTTTTTTCAAAAATGTTATTCGTTTTTGAAAAAATAACAATTTTTGATACGAGAAGTTCCAGCAATTTGCCTTAAGGCGCATGGCATCGACACGATGCCCTAATTGCCTTAAGACAGAATTCCACTTACAGCTAGTTCAAATTATAATTGATTGAAATAATACACACAAACAAAAGTTTTTGATACCCACCTGAATCAAGAAGTATCCTGTGTGTCTCTGCAGATTGAAAGATACTTGCAAGACAGAAAAATCACCTAAAATTAATATTTGATATAAATTTTATGATTCTATTCATTAAAGAAACTTGACTTATCAAACTAAAGTTCCATTCTATAGATGGCGAAACGATTTTCTCTATACATTTCGTATTTGCTTTTAGAAATTATTACTCACTATATAAATCATAGTGTTCGTTCCTGATCTGGCTGGCATTGGCGGCTTGTACTTGACCGTCAGCACCAAACTAGTTTTTACGTAATACCATATACAAGATTAAAGGCCAATTTCACAATCAACAAGCCGTTCAACCGTCTCTAGAGAGCTCTTTGAATGAATTATTCGATAGATTTTTAACTTCCAATCTTAACTAGAATAGATGATACTTTTTTATTTTATAATGCGCTATATAATATTTAATATTTTATAGAAATGCAAAAATAAACACATTACATATTTGAATCAATCATGTATTATCTTCAAAAAATGAATATATGTATCTATAATAACAAAAATCCAATTGGCATTAATTTTACTTTTTTCATGTAATCTAGTTCAAAGTTTGATAAATTTTAAATAAACAAATTCTAGAGAAGTTGGTTACGAAGTATTAGATTCAAATTTGTACGCACTATACAGAATAATACAAAAAACAACCAAGAGCACATACCCTATGAACGGTTTTTGAATATATTTAAAGCACAAGAAAATAGAGAAAATAAGCTTTAAACAAAAACGTGCTTTCTCTCTTAAACTTCCTAATCCAAAATTATATTATCTCATTATTTTTCAAAATATTATACATTTGTGGCAATGTCTTTGCCTTAAACCAACCTGACAATGAGCATATTGGCATAAATACCCATCCATGCTTATGTTTCATTCATTCGAGATAAATCATAAAAGAGTCCACGGTTTAATAGTCCGGATGTTTAATACGATTAAAGTATAATCTCTCTGTGTCGAATGTGCAAAATAGTCATCACGTTGCATCAGATATGAAATAATTAAATACTAATGGCATTCTGGAACGTTCTTAGTTATGCAAGGACGTGAGCTCAAACCGCGACACGGACTTACATGTGGCAAATATGTAAAACCATAAGAGCACATATGTATATTTATGCGTAAAATTATGCATAAATATCTGGCTAATGCAACTGGGCTTAAGTTTAAATCCGGATGAACGTTTTGCACACAAAAATCTAATGGGAGCAAGTGTAACAAATATGAATGACTTGAACTTACTAAAATTAATGCAACATTTTAGATATGATATAAAGTTCATCTGTCAGCTCTCGATATCAAGCACTAAACTTGGATTTCTCTCTCCAAAACTAATGTTACATTGTTCTATTAAATATGCTATTCATGCATTCTAAATTCCATTGTTTAGACAACGGTTGAAGTAACACTCAACGAAAATTTGTCAGTCAGTCATACTAATGTTACATAGGGCACAATCTGCATACAGTTTAAAGATCTCCTATATCTCTTATATACCGGAAGAACAAATAAAATAAAATCTTGTTATTTTAAATAGACCCTAAAATATAATAAATAACGTACTTTCAGATTTGGAAATTCTTATTTCCAATTTAAGATTTCGCAAAAAAAATATTTGCAATTGCTATAGTTTTGCAATTGAAACGACCTTTAGTATCATCTTTGTGAGTTATTTAAAATTTCCTGTATAGCACGAAACTTTCTAATATCTAATATCTGGTAACAAGATATCAAAAGAAAGTGAAACAAAAAGTCGCGGAAGAAAACAATGGACTGAATGGTCTTATTTTTAGTCTTCCAACATAAATCTCCAGTTGAAAAACATGTTATTTTAAAGTCACTTGTTTTGAACCAAAGATAATTGTTATACACTAGTAAAATAGAATTAAATCACAAAAACAAAGTGTACAGTAAAAGTGATAAAATAATTAAATTATTTACTGGAATAATAACCACTAGGCTATGACATAGAATCTGACTACATAGAAATTTATCACCTTTTTAGCCTTCTATTCTTAAGATTAATTGTACTATTTTAAATTGGAAATTTCAGTCAATATAACATAACAGATATATCTAAATTACCAAAGTTTTCTCTATTTTAATACAGATTTCCACCTTATGTTTTAAGCTTTTGTAAACGCAAAATTTGTCCCGGATTTAATTCTTTTATCCCGGATTTTCGAGAAGTATAGGTTTAAATTTACTTTTTGAAATTATTTGATAATAAAATTACAAGACAACAATTATGCTTATATGAAACAATAAGTTATGAAAGAGATGCCGAATTAAAAATTCCAAAAGCGGGTTAAAATAGCATCTAACATTAATTAATTAAGCTAACAAAAATGAATAAAAATTATGAAAAGGAACCAACAAGTTCTATTTTTTTTTCAGGATAATAAATAAGAAATTAGCACAGAAATTTATACAATGTATAACGCGAAAAAACATATAGATTGAAAAATATGAGATATAATAACATGATAAGTAAAATAAAAGTATAACATATAATCGAATAAAAAGTTCTTACTAACACTTGATGACAGTATGTTTTTAATAGCTCTTTTCATACTTATCTAAGTTAATTGAAACAATATATATATGCAAATAATATTATATTATGATAGTATAATGATATTCCCAGAATAGGTGTATACAATTTGTATCTTTATGTAAAAATCAATGTATGTATTTAAGTCAAATAAAGCAAATTTTCAAATTAAAAAAAAAAAAAGTTTTTACTAGCCCGTTCTGATTAAAAAATTGATTCATTCTAGACATATTTTACATATTTTAGACATCATTAACATGCAGTGTAAAATTCTCCAAATGGACATATTTATATACCAATTAAATACTCATTGTGAACAGAGTAGTTAATTAGTTTGAATAAAAAATAGAGTATTGTAAACAAAGCAGGAGCCGAATGTAATTGAAACGTTTTTCGTAAACAATGCTCCATTCGAATGAAATTAAATACCTACATTCATTATTCTAAGTGTTAAATTACCTTCTCTTCTCGTAAAAGTGAAATTTCTGTAAGGGGCACTCATCAGATCGAATTGTGATAGTGTCATGCCCGAAACGAAGGTCACAGAGTCCGCGTTTTGCCATTGATATTCCAACTGCTCTCGCGTGTAAGCATCTGTAAAAAACAATACCAGGAACAACTAGAAGAAATATTTTAATTGGAATAGAAATTTTAATTTAATTAGTTTAAATTAGGAATAGTCGGTTTGGGTATACTGCTATCCTAAATATGATATATAATAGTGATGCCTATATATCATATACAGGCATCAGAATTATAATTGTGTAAAAACAAAATTTAAGTAATTTTTTTATTTCTAATTAATTTACTATGTATAAAACTTATATTTTTAAAAATTATAAAAAAATCTTTCTAAAATTCTTTTTAGAAAATAGTTATGTATGCGTTCTCTTAAATTTCCTATTTACCTATATGAATCTTATTGGATTCACGTTGCATATCGGAATCATATTGTATAATATATTACATAAAACCCCTTCATAATCTGATTCAAAATTAATAATAATTATTAGATTGGATTATTATTAATCAAATCAGATTTTAAATTTATAATTATTTTCCTGATAACTTTCAGAACTCGATCTGATAAAATTTCTGAACTCGTGTATTATTTTAATAATCATATATTTAAATTTATTTAAATTCTAATTTTTTTCTTTTCAATTTACTAAGTATTAAATATGAATTCTTAATAAAAATAAATAAATATTTCTAAAATTCTTTTGAATTTATATGGTTGAAGTAGTTATGCAGAAATTCTCATAGATTTCCTATTTACCCATATGAATCTTATTGGATTCTGAATGCATATTGGAATCTTATTGTACCATCAATTCCATAGAACCCCTTCAAAATCGGATTCAAAATTAATAATAATTATTAGATTGGATTATTATTAATCAGATCAGATTTTAAATTCATAATCATTTTCCTGATAACTTTCTGAACTATATCTGATAAAATTTCTGAACTTGTATATTATTTAATAATCATATACATAAATAGTTTTAAAATAATTCAATTAATAAAATATGTTTAAATATTTGATTATTTTTTATAAAAAGTGCTATGATTATTTATAATATATAAGTAAAAAATATTTGAAAATGTGCCTTGTTTGTTATGTATATATAGCAAGTAAAGCTTAAATCTGTAATTAGAAAAAATTTAATTTTCCTAATTGTTAAGATAATCAAATAATTATTTATAGACTTAATGTTACCAATCTAATTTTATTTAATAATAAATATTCAAATAATGTTATGTACCTTTAAAAAATGTTTGTATATTTCGAAGTTATATTCCGAAAGAAAGATCTCAAAGGTGAAAGTTTCAATCCATCGTGGAATATTATAATAAATCATATGTGTTAACAAGTTTTTATAGAAAAAAACATCAAACATACCGGTTATATAGGAAGAACCAATTTTAAACCGTGAACAACGCTATAAGAAGATTCAGCCAAACCATAATAATCTTCATCATTTTAAATTTTACAATGTTTTATGTTCTATTTAAAATACGCAAAAATCTTTTTCCCAACATTTTTTTCAAATGTTTTTTAGACTTAAATCTATCACGTCTAGCGTCTACTTCTATTTATCTGAAACCCAAGATTCGAGAAGCTACAGAAGGATTTTATCGTGCGGAATCCTATGCTTTTAACTTTTTATATAAAAATCAGATCTTTTTCTAAAAGCATTCATGCATAACTCTATACTAAATCATACAGTTTTATAAAAGATGTATATATATATATATATAGAAAATAAAACTTGGATTTTGGAATTCATTTATTCATTTACAAATGTTAGTGTAAAGTTTAAAATATTGTTGATGAAAACCGCTATGACATTTATTAGTATCTCCTGAGAGTGCTGACGAATAAGATTGGGTTTTGTGAAAAATATGATCTCTCTTTTATATTTTAAATATAAATCTCTTTATCTTTTTTGTCAAAATGATCGAGAAAATATTGATAATTGGATTGACTTACAGCTTCCTAGGATGAGAGGGCAGCTTTGGCGATCCATAGGGAAATTGCGCAGCTCCATCGGACATTTGGCCTTGATCGTCAATCTGGAAAGCAATTAATATTTTAATTAAATATGAATTACCGTACCTGTGTGACAACTTCGGTTTTTCGTGTCATATAAAATTTTATTTTTTATAACGTTAAAAATTCAAATTTCTGAGAGAGCATTATATTGATCCATAGAAATAGCTAAAATTGAAAATTTTTATATTTTACCTCATTGAGTATAAAATATCTCCATCTTGAGTTATTCTCAATAGTTTGTTTGGAACTGTGATTGTATGAACGTATGAATTTTTCCCATTGTAAAAATAAGTATCAGGTCTCCAAATCCGTTCTAGCATCTGTAAGAATAAAAAAATTTCAATATACAAATAAATACTTATATTTAGTATGCATATATTATAATTGAAACAATGAGATAAATTATTAATGATACTTGATCAACCTAGTTTTAATTTTTTATATACCTATTCAAAAATATTTTGCTGATTAAGTTATTATTAAATGGATTAATAGGATATTGATATATTACAGATTTATATATATATATATATATATATATATATATAATATGGTTATTAATTATGGTTTCCGCAAAAAATAATAAAAAATAAGCAAACGCACAAAATTTTTATTTCTACATGGTCAGTAAGAAATATTACATATTTCACTGAAATGAAGTAATATTTTTTGCAAGCAGGGTAATGAAATGAGCTTAATGATATTTATATAACTTGCTGAGTAATGTGTTCCAGCAAAAGCATATACATCTGTGATGTGCAAGAATGGCAACTTTCAAGTCTATATGCGGAAAATTTTTATAAGTTAATAAATTTAATTAAAACAACTGGGTAATGCGATCTATTTCAAAATTATTAATAAAAGTAATTTAAAATTAAATAAGACAAAGTGATGATGCATATTTAGATGCATTGCTGTTGCAAAAAGCGAAGAACGATAACGTCAGAAAATGAGTTTTAAAAATTTGCTAGATAATTTGCTAGTTTGTTGCATATTATGTAAGTTTTTATAAACAAAAAATAGCAATATACAAGAGTGGTCTTTAATATGGACATTTTCGACTTTCCTTGCTCCGAAGGGCTCAAATAGTTCCAAATTGATAAAAAACAATTCTCTGAAAGTTTTAGCTCTTAATAATTTTTTTTAGATATAGCGCAATTCAATAAAAGTTTTGTATGGAAATAGCATGAAACGTATGATTTATTTTTAAATAATAATTTTATAATTTAATTAATTTCAAACATTGATGACACCAACATTAATTTTAATTTAATACCCTTTTTCACAGTTTCCAATGTTTGATTTAATCTATAATGATTCAATTACCTTTATACTGAGTGACAGTGATTTTATAGGACCAAGAAAGCTCAAACGAGTATCTCGCCAATATTGCCGAAAATAACAATCCATTGAATATTCCTGCAAAAATTATAATTAGATGATCTGAGGCAAAGTTTTTAATATTTGATTACAACTTACCATGTCTAGTTCTGAAACTGGACCCATGCTTCTTATCAGCATATTAGTTTTCACTAAGGTTGCTATTCCTGAAAGAAATAGAAACTCATGCATAGTATAAACATAAAGATATTTTTATAGACATCAGTTATATTGATTATTGCTTGAAGATTTATCTCTCTGAGTTAAATGATTGAAAGTTGTAATTTATTATTATGTTCATTTACAAGTAAAGTAAATTTTATTTCTACTATTTAGTTCCATTTTATTTACATCAGTTTCCTTCCCATTTCCCGGATTATTCGCAGGATGCAAACAAGTACATATATTCTAATGGTATGAAACGGCACACGTCAGTGCAATAACGCCTTTGTTTCTTGCGAATCGTTACTCAAATAACAAACATCAAACACGGAGACTGAGGATTTGGTAATCTAATATCACAATGAGATAGACCGAGTTAGACAAGATACTAACTAATGTGAATAGATTTTGGTTTGTTTTATCATTCAATTGGAAATTAATTCGAGCTGTTGAAAATCAGTCAGTCGACGTAATTTGTGAACTTAGAATTAATGCATAAGTAATAAAAACAATTCTAATTTATCTTTTTTAACATCCTACTACCGCATGATAATAGAAGACTGAAAAGAATGTGGCCATTGGATTTTGTGCAAACCAACAAAGTTGTATCACTGGATTATCTTATATATGTCATACTTATTTAAATGTACAGTTATCTTATAGAAATTATTATTGTATTTCTGATTGCTAAAATAAAGTGAAAAAATAAAAAAATTCTGTTGGTAATGAAATATTATTTCTTTGCTTTCAAATTTCTAGGATCCGCTGCTAAAAAAATTGTATAATAATGTATAATTTTATAATATTATTTATATCTAATTGAAATTAATTAAGAGAATGCATTTAAATTGATTTTCAAACTTTTTACGAGACTGATAAGACTCAAGATAAATATTAGTAGAAATTCCATGTATTACTTTGTAATAATGTGAATAAAAGTATATAAAATTCCTTTCTTAATATTGTAAATATTAGTTTTATAATCCTCAAACCAACACAACACCTATGCGAGATTTTGCGAAGCTTAATTCTTAAGATCTTTTAAACGACACGATTTTGTAGTAAAAATTATATAGCAATATATAATAATATGTAACATATGTGGATGTTAACAAATGACATTTAACAAGTAATCTTTTTTATAAACATTGCCTATGAAAAATATAATTTTTTGTGACAATGAATGTTAAAATGTAAATTTAGTTGATATAGCAATATACTATATGTTAAAATTCTATATTTGCGAATGACAAACAAGATATGTATATCGTTCTAAATAGAGCAAGATTTGCTGGTAACCGATTTTTTCAAAAATTCTTCTTAAATTGTAAGTCATTATTTTTAAATCAATATTTCATAAAAAATGATTTTCAGAGTTAAAAGTCTCATCCATCATCATAAAATGGAAATTTATTTAATTAAACATATTATTGCAACCCATTCCAAAACCGAGAACCAGTATAAGATTTTTAAAAACTGCAAGAGTAAATTTTATGATTAACTTCAGGATTTATTTCTTCCCAAATGTATTTTGGAAAAAAATCGAATAATCTTTGTTTTTTTTAAACAATCTTTCAGAATAGTTAGAATTATGTTTAAATGATAACAAGTAATCTTTTTTATAAGCAATGCCTATGAAAAATATATATTTGTCACGAAGATTATGAATGTGTAAATTCAGTAGATATAGCAATGTACTATATTCAAAAATTCTATATTTGCGAATGACAAACAAGAATTGTATGTAGTTCTGAATAGAGTAAGACTTGGTGGTAACCGTTTTTTGGAAAATTCTTCTTAAATTTAAAAGTCATTATTTTTAAATTATTTATTTCATAAAAAAAGATTTTTAGAGTTAAAAGTCTCATCCATCATCATAAAATGGAAATCCATTTAATTAAACAGATTATTGCAACGCATTCCAAAACCGAGAACCAAGTAGAAGATTTTTAAAAACTGCAAGAGTAGATTTTATGATTAACTTCAGGATTTATTTCTTCCCAAATGTATTTTGGAAAAAATTGAATAATCCTTGGTTTTTATAAACAATCTTTCAAAACAGTTAGAACTATGTTTAAATGATAACGAGTAATTTTTTTTATAATCATTGCCTATGAAAAATATATATTTGTTATAAAGATCATGAATGTATAAATTTAGTAGATATAGTAATATTCTAAAATTCTATATTTGCGAACAAAATATGTATGTATATGTACAAACAAAATATGTATATCGTTTTGAATAGAGCCAGACTTGGCGGTAACCGACTTTTGCAAAATAAAAAAAACAAAATTTAAGTCATTATTTTTAAATTATTATTTAGTGAATGAGATTTTCAGAGGTGAAAGTTTCATCCATCACCATAAAATGAAAATCCGTTTTAAACAGATTTTCGCAACCCATTCTGAATCCATAAGCACAAGAATAAAAACCGGGCTACAGGAGTAGATTTTAAGACCGAATTCAGAATTTTCCGATCAAATACAGGATTTATTAATTTCAATTTTTTTTTTTTGTTTTTATGGATTAATTCGTTCAAATGCAAACAGTTAGAACTAAGTTTTAATGACGTTTTTAATATTATTATATAAATCAATAAGAAATTTAGTGGGCAAAAAGTAAAATTGGTGTTTGGTTATGATAATATCCATAATAAATATTTATGAATGAAATATGGATTTTTTCTATTTGATTTTGGTAATTTTTTTTATATCTACTTTATTTGTGAGCAACAAAAAAAATCTGAACAAAAATTGGAGCAATTTTCTTTGGATCAAGTTTATTATTTCCACTATCCAAATGGTGCCCAGACCGATGTTTATTCAAATTTCAACAGCAGGTTAAGCAAAAGTCTCGTTCAAAGTGTGTTGGGATTTGTCAATATTGGGAATACTTGAGAAAAGTGGTTTCCGGATCGTTCGCGTATCGCCGAAAACCGCGAGTTATATAATTAAACTTCTATAGTACTTGCTGGTGGTGCCGATGCGACTTGCTGGTTTTATTTGCATCGCTTGAGAGGAAATCATTTCGCATTTTGATACTGTTTGATTACATTTCTTTCTATTAAAATGAGTTACATTTGCATATATATGACAGTTTGTTTTTGTATAAAATAAATGTATAACTTCTATTTATAATTTTATCGGTATATTAACTTTAGGAGAAAAAGTTTATGTTTTGGCTACAATATTCAATTAGCTGATAAATTATCCAAATTTGATTACAATTACCGCATAATATTCCCACAGATTTAAATACAATCATGGTATATCTTTATTTTATTGCAGTAAATAATTAATTACGGACCAAATAAATGTAGCCTTGATGACACCAGGAACTGATCTTACCTTGGGACTGTGTGTCGGCATTGCGATTTCTCGTAATTTTTTAATAGTTTTCCAGAACCATGGTTATGTTACGACTACTGCATCGTTGGGTGTTACCACGTTTCTGTCTCTCGGCCAATTGTCAATTCTGTGGGATCAGCCTGTGGGAAAAAAATATGTTGGATATTAGAAATATATAAAAAAAATATATTGAAAAGCATTAGAAGGACATATTGCTCTATTATATTCGTCCTACATCATCAAATTGTATATATGATAATTAATTTGATTACATATTTTTTATAATATATTACATATTATGCTATGGTATATACTTTTTCTTTTGTTAATATGTCATTGAAAATATTGTAGGATACAACACACCGTAAGTTTTGATTTATTCAAGTACACGTCAATCACACAAAAATCAATACTTTTAAGTATGTGCATTAAGTGCCTTTTTTTAAATTCTTTGTCCCTCGCAAAAATGAATATGGTGAAGTCATTTTTGAATATTTTAATATGTGACTCAATATTTGCGAAATAACTTTTTGCAATTTATAGCTTCAGTTATTTTCAATCTACACAAAAAATTACATAAATGATGTTTTTGGCAGTTACATAGCTGTTATCCCTTAAGTATCCCTCACGATACAAACCGTTTACTCCTCAAAATTGAACCTTTGAGAATTGTTTTTTTTTAAAATATAAATTTATTAAAAAAAAAAAATTAAAACAAAAATGACAATTTCGAGTTTAAATAATTTGCTCTTCTTTCGAATTTCTCTTCGATTTCTATAGCATTACGTAAATAATTTCTTGAAAAATATAGATTTACAGTTCTATCAAAGAATTCATTTCTTTAATTATAGCAAATAGATAATATTGATGTTTCAAATACATAGGAAACTTTATTTTTTATAAGTTAAAGGAAATAAAACTATAAATCCAATATGACATGTGATTAGTCAAATTTTGATAACTCAAGAAGTATCGGAGATATAAGTGTTTTTTCATATAATTTTTATAAGACTTTTTGATAAATAAAGTTTGTCGGGTTCCTTGTAAAATTATGTAAATAATAGTATCTTGCATATTATTTCACACATTTTCAAATTATATTAATCATGTAATATAATTTTTTATTTATTTTTTTTATTTACAATATAATAGCAATCAGGAATTTTATTATTCTATAAGTTACTGAGATGCATTTGAACTCAATAAGAACCTTATTATATGTAATAAAGACTTCTACGGAGTATCTTAACTATATTCAAATTTATTTTTTTCAATCACTCAAAAGAAATCTTATATCAATTACTTCACTTATTATATGTATTTGTATTTATAGTCATATATTATTTAGCATGTCTAGACTTACAATAGGTTTTCGTTTTAGTATCTATATTTATAAATATTTTGCCATAATTGTTATATATCATAAAGGTATACAATGGGTAAGCTTTAAGCAGACATTTACTATCAACAATCAAATTACTGAATGTCTCTTGGAGGCAGATTGTAATTTATATGAACAAAAAAATACTTCACCGATAATTATATTATCATAATGTAATAAAGTGTGTTTTTATTAAATAAATTCGAAGTTCAAACAAAAATAAACGAAGCCAGACAAAACAAACGTTCCATCAGTTTCTCTAAAATATCGCCCAGTTTCTTAGTAAATATTAGAAAATATGATAGCACGTTAGTCTCTATTTTATCTGATTTATCGTCGTATTTGCTTTGATATCAGACGAAACATTTAGCAATATAATCGAGGCTTTTTTTTTGCCTTACCTTCTTAAATTCGTATACATAAGATGAGCCATTTGATATAATCTGGTAATTTGTCAACGGGCGCGGTTTCCAATTTCACTGCTCCGAACAGAATACTGAAACAGATAGTATACAAGAAATAAATACGAGACGAGATAAATACTCACGATATATAACTACAAAAGACAGATGGGCGAGAGATGCCACTTGTGCAAAAGTTTTATTAAAGAGGCAAATAATGTCATTTGAAAGCGGTCTGGAGGAATGGACACAGTGCGATATATTAAATATAAAATAATAATGATGCTTTGAACGGAATGTAGCAAAAAGACTTAAACTTCCAAACTTGTAAGTCGAAAACCTTAGTTTCATTCACCAAGCAGCATAACGTAAAATAAACTTTTGACAAAGTTATTCTAGTGCCCAGCTATTTATACATGGCCAGTCTAATTATGTAGCTATCTTTGTGAAAAATAAGTTTTATTTGAAAAATTAACCTATTTGTTAAAATATTAGGTTGTCAAATATCTCCCTTCCGCTTTTGTATTATAAACCAAGAGCAAAAAAGCGGAAGGGAGATATTTGACAACCTAAGATTACAAAAACATAAAACAAATTATTAGTACTCTATTCTTTCATAGTAAATAAAACTAATAAAAAGTTCGGTTTATACAAAGAAACTTAGCAAGTGAAATGTAAGTACCTAAAAAAATAAAGGTTGGTAATAGATCAGAGACCAAAATAAAAACAAAAATTAGTTATTAAAAATAAAATTGTATTGACAAAATATTTACTTAAGTCTTCTATACTTTTAGAGTCCCAGTCTGGCTCTCGATGCACAAATTATTATTAATTCTAGTTTAATTTACACCACGTCTTTTATATAAATTTGGCCGTTTTTAACTTTTGTGTGTTGGTTTTGGTATTTTTTTAAATAATCCACTAGAAAGAGTTAAACTGGAACTCCAAACGTATGAAAAACTTAGAGGTTTTCATAATATATACATAATTTGGTTTTGTCTTTAACAAGGGATGGGTGCCTTTTCAAAGTTTTGGTTTTTTAACTATACACCTTTCACCATGTGTATTATTATATATTATATATATATATATATAATATTTATTTATTTATATATATACATGATATATATATATATATAAATATTTATTTATTTATATAATATATAATATATATATATAATATATATCTACTCGTATATATATTTATATAGTTTTCATCCTTAAAGATTTTGATCATTATTATTCTGAATGTTCGACTTGCACATGACGATATATGAATCGAATAGAGAAAAATACAACACACATTTTCCATTAGGATTTTACATTGGAAACCGTATATGAAAGTCAAACAAAAAAAGTAACAAGGAAAAAGAAATGATTATTTAGAGCACTGCCATTTCTTCTTAATTGACTTTAAGTCTCAATATCGAATTACAGAGTAATTAGTAAATCTTTAATTATGATACGGAATTTGTAGTTGTAATTTTGGATTACTAATTATACTACACATATTTGCTCTATATTTTACTCTATATTCTCTATATTTTATAAACCATCATTTTCGTGAGTTTTTGATGGAATTTACTCAAAACGATCAAAGTTTTGATTTGCTAATATTATTATATGACTAATTCTTAACATAATTATTCAATAATTATATCACTCAAAGAATAGCAATAAATCATGGCATATTGCTTTATTATTTCCCTAAATAGCCCAGAAACTATACCCATTAATGCTATTAATCTTAATTGTTCGATAATCAATAAAACAATATACGTATATAAATACTTGTAAGCACGCCACGGTAATAAAACTTTAATTATATAAATAATTGGCGTAGAAATAATTTGATAAATGTAATCTATTATACTAGCTTAATTAGTCTTTATCCAAGTCATTTGATTATTCCTAATAATTAGTTAGTTGTAGTCAAATGCTTCCAAAACTGAAAATATTTGGTGATAGTCATATCATTTTATGCAGGTGTAGATAAAGTTTCCAGTATATTATAATGAAATAAATATGTAGACCATTATTTACCAATAATCTACAGAATGGACTGAATAGTATTTGAACAAAAAATTATATTTATTAAAATTTAAAAAAAATGATATACCAGGATCTGGAATTGTTATACTTCGGTTCCTTTATAACAACTATTAGTTCCACCATAAAAGTAATGAAACTGTGATGAAAATAATTTTATTAAGAAAGTTGTATAGGTCTTACATACATCAAGGTTGGGACTGGTTCATATAAATAATAAATAGGAGACGACATTCCTCTCACAAACTTAGTAAATTTTCTTCAATCTGAGGAAGGGCGTGAGTGACTAGTCCTTAAGGGATCAGATTCAAGGATATTCGACAACTTCTGTTCAGAAGGAATGAATGTGGTAATATCATACTGTTGGAAATAAAACGAAACGAACGTAATGAAGGGACTGATGTCTTTTTTACATAAATCAAAAATTGGCATAAAAATTACCTTATTGATTGAGAGTAAATTTAGCAATAAAAAATATATCAATTACGTAACCTTTTGTGCACTAAATATTTTAATAACCTGAACAAGGTGTATTTTATTTTAATAATTATGAAAAATAGCTTCACGAAATACTTAAATACCATTATTTAAACCTTTTTATTTTATATATTTTAGTTTTCATCTATATCAAAATACAAATGTGGATCAAATATCAATTTATTTTTTTCCAAGAAAGTTGATATTGGCTCTCTATTTATGATCAAGAAGAAGCATTCGTTAATAAGATTTTGATATTCAATGACACTTCTATTGGCTTAATTAGTTCTCTGAAAGCTGGTTCTTTACGCGCTTAATGCAAAAAGAAATATCAGGAAATGACAGAATTCGAGTAATCAATCTAGATTATTTTTTTCTCGGGAAATGGAATTAGATTACACCGTTGGCGATCCTGAATATTGTTTATTCAATGCTACGCTATACTCCTTAAATGTATATACATACAAGATTGATACAAAAATGTTAGTAATGCGAATATAGTCCTCAGTAATCGGAATGTGAGCAAAAGTAAGTAAGACTTTTATAGTAATAAAAAACAATTATATTTTTCAGAAACAATTCGATCAATTTATACTTAAATCGATTCCC